TACCCTATTGTATGGTATAATGGTGATTGTTAATTGGTGCTCGAGAACCACTCATATTCTTTGATAGTAGGAAAGGTATCTGCCTCTTACGAATGCTTACCGGGTTTTCCTGCTCGTTGCTCGTTGTTGGTGGTTTAATATGATGATTTTGTACTATTTGCTTTTTGATGTTTGCTTTTTGCTCTTTCCTTTTTGCATTTTGCTTTTTACTTTTTACTTGTTTTGAGTTGCTCGTTGTTTTTTTGCTTTCTAGCTTGTGGCCTTTTACTTGTGTTGCCATTTAGTTGTTATGATTGGGGTGATGGGTGTATGCATGTGGGATCCGTCCGTGTGCATGTACGGCCAGGCTATGCTCTGTACCGATAAGAATGCGTACCTCAAGCAGAGATGACGCTGTACTGGATCGCCTCAACCTGCCACGTGGAGTTGTGTTACCAACTTAGCAGTCTTGAGCATGATTCTTTAAACGATGATTCGTAGTCTATCAACAGTAGGCGGCAGTGGGGGATCTACTATTTTTTCTGTGTGTATGACAAAGGGTGACGCCACTCATGCTGAGTGATCTGGGTGCTCCAGAGTCTTAGCTGGTGTGGAATTATCGAATAAATTGAGCAACATTTGAATGAGATATTGAGTTAGAGACTTGTTAGGTGGAGAGGGGAATTCAGTTCGGGGAGGGGGGACGTTTGTCTAAGTTCATAGTCCCCGTGAGATGATCGTTGAATGTAGCTTGTGACCATAGAGCTGCTTTTCGTACGAAGGGGTTGTGACTCTCATTGAATTGTGTGTGAGTTGATGCGGAGACATCCAAACACGTCTTCCAGGATGAGTTAGCAGATCTAGGATCTTGTTTCACGATCGTCTGTGTGGAAATATGTGGATGTGCGATGCGTGAGGGATGTTGTGATAAACGACGCAGAGGAACTATCTGTGTAGACCATTGGATGCATGGGCGATTCTAATGACGTCCCTTGTTACTGCTTGCAGCTATGTAAATTATGCAGAGATGGGATAGAGCTTCTAGTTAAAGGCCTGGGCTGAGTATCGTCATGAGCTCATTCGACTGCATTTGGGAAACTTTGTGCATGTTGTCATGGCTCTTGTTGTTAGTGAGATTGATCATGGGCACGTACGCTTGTGGCAGTAATGGGGTTTTATAATGATGAGAATGGAGGGAGCTCATGGGTGGTGACCTTGGTCTGAGGGTGATCAATTGGGTTTTTCAACGAAATGATATAGTTAGCTCTGTATTGTGCTAGAAAGTGCGCTTTCGGAGTCATCGGGTTGGTATATAGAGGCCGTTCTTGTCGTATAGCTTGCTGACGATGATGGGAGAAGTTATAGTATATAGAGTGGTGATCATGACCGTGCTGTGGAGCATCGGATGACGTCATCATGATGGTTGGATTCCATGTTCGGGTACTCACGAGGAGTTGTGCATAGGATTGTGAATCTTGGTATATTCTTAACAATGATGAGATGGGTTACCGATGGATTCGTGGTGTTATCTGATCACTTGTTCCGTCTCTTTGAAGAAGTGGTCTTTGCGATTGTGGATCGTGTTGCGTGTCATCATCTCTGCTCACGGAGCCATACATGTGAGATTAAGCTCGTGGGATTGCTTGAGTGAAGCTTGCGTACCATATGCATGCTTAGATTATAACGGATTTCGACTATTGGCTTTACTCGTCGCTAATGATTCTCTGATTAAAGTACGTGTATGCGTAATTTTGAGATTCGTCTCCTCCTCCTCTTTTTCAGTATTCTAATCTTCATCAAATATACGAAGGAATTTTCCCCTCCGTTCTTCTACCTTCTCCTTTCTTCTTTCTTCTCCACTCCTCCTCCCGCTTCTTCGTCTACTTCTTCTGCTCCCACCTCTTCTTCTTTCTCTTTTTTTCCTCATTCCTCCTTGTCTTCTTCTTTTGCTTCTTCTGCTTCTTCTTCTTCTTCTTCTTCTTCCTCTTCTTCTTCTTCTTCTGCTTCCTCGTCGTCTTCTTCGTCCTCTCCTTCGTCGTTCACTCCTTCCTCCTCCTTCCTTGTCTTCTTCCTCCTCGCCTTCGTTGTCTTCCTCCTCCC